AGGATGGCAGTTGTTGAAAGCAAACAAGACATCATCAAGAATTACATTTTTTTATCGCAGTTAACGAAAGTGTCATCTGCGTATCTTTTATAAATGTCAAAATGACCGATGGTTTGACTAAGTTGAGAATTTTCAAGCTTTGCCATAAAACAATCAGCCAACAAGGGATCCAGTGGTGATCCCATGGCAATGCCGTCCCTCTGTCTAAAGATTTCATTATTGAAGGTGAACTGAACATTCAACGTGCATCTCAATAAAAGCTCTTTGAGGTAGGCAGTCGGCAGTCCTATTTCTAAACTAAGTGTATCAATATAATCACATAAGTAGCAAACAGTTTCCATGAGAGGAACATTGGTAAATAACGAAGTCACATCTAATGAGAACAAGATTTTGTCTGAGACATTGAAATCTTTAATGCTATCAATAAATTTAAACGTATCATCAATGGAAAACTTAGATACTTGCCTTCTGACTGGTTCCAGTATTTCAGCTAGCCATTGAGCGATTCCGTGGTAAGGAGAACCCGGCATATCGAAGATAGGACGGAGGGGTAGTCCGTACAAACGGGGTATCATGGAGCCTACTGGTCGGATGCGTTCATATATTTCCGACGAGATTACTGACTTATTCCTCATGTTCTTTAAGACATCAGTCAGTTGATTTTAAATTAGATGTGTGTTGTTCTTTTCACCATCGGGTTTGGCGAATTTCATTTGGTCGGAAAGGATCGCTGAGATTTTAGCATTATAATCTTGGCGATTAATAACTACAACACTCCCACCTTTGTCTGGACAGCATATAATAATATCATCATTCTTCTCTAGTTCTTTAAGTTTATCTATATGCTCTTTAGTCAGAAGATTATTCGAGCTAAGTTTTGAACTATTATTATTCAGATTATGAAATTGAAACTAACCTAATTTCAGATAGGTAATTATGCTCTGTTTTTATAAACATTTCCGCTAACCATATTCTTAATCATTTATTTCTATTATTAGGAGGCTAGTCGAATAATATATGATTCTAGGGGCTGCTTACCTTTGGACAATAGAAGACAGAAATGGGTATTAGGTGTTCAATACCCTTTGATTACAATCATTTGATGAGAGTTATCGGAACCATCTCGTTTCATTCAGTTATACACAAAGTAAACTGCAATAAGTAGTGACATTGCTTATCACTAACCAATTTATAGAAGAGTTCAGGAAAAATTTAATTCCATCTTGTAAACTACATAAACAGTAACTTAAAATCAATGCAAACATACTCATAGAACTAAATAATACAACGATACCAAGTTGGCTAAAATATATTCAGCGATACTGTAGCATGTACTATTGATAAGATTTATCTATCAGTAGTATATACAGAGACGTCCATCGGAATAAAAGAACATCAAGTAGCAGGGAGATATATTTGACGTCAGAGAACGAAAATGATTCAACCTTGAAGAGGAATATGGGAGACGTGAAAGGAAGACAAAGAAACACAATATGAAGGACAGAAGAAGCACCACACGGAAGATTTGTGCAACTGGTGCATTGAAGATAAGGTGTAGATAATTTGGCTGTATAGCGATATCAAATTCAGATAAGCATTCCTTTACCAAGTCTCTGGTCTTCTATGATCACAAAATCATCATAGTTTCCCTCCTTGCATGCTGGATGGGAGATGTCATAACTTAGGCAAGTATAGTTGTTAGGGTTGCCACTTATAGTCACTCCAGTATAGTGGGATACTTTGGACTGGACTAGGGATTGATATCAGTCTAAGGACCAGGGAGTACTGGAGAGCCGTTGCATCCCAGTTTGGGACTCATCAGTAGTGCGCACACACTGGCTGAGTTTAGACTTCTCACTAGAAGTCCCGCAGATGACATTGGTTGGTCGTCACGCTAAAATCACGAATTGGTAGAAGTTGGAATTTATGCGCCACTGAATCGAGTCCCAGCTTGTGTTGCAACCGGAAGGTCCTGGGTTCGAAACCCATTGGGTACGTACTGCTATGGAGTCCCAAACAGGGATGAAACAGCTATCCAGTATTCCCTGGTTCTCAATGGTTCTCTAAATGATATCAGCCCGTGATCTATCCTGAAAAAAATAGAATCCGTACAAATTAATTCTTGAAAATGGTGAAACATGCTTGCATGTAAGTGACCACAAAACTGCCCTACGTGACATAAGAACAGATTTCACTGATGGTATAAGATATGTCACTAAGTCATCCGAACAAATGATTATAAATAAATTCGAATTCAAACACATTTTTACGGTCGATGGTATCCGGGATTTTAATAAGCCATTTGTGTACATTGAGATAATTTTACGTCAAATTGAGTTGCTTTCTAGTAATCTAATGTATAATGCTACTTGTATTTCTCATAACTGCAGGTACATATGTTTTTTTATTCTTGAAGAAAGTGATGAGTGGATAAGATATTATTTTCTTTGCGTTACTTGAACATATTCAACTGCTATCTAGATTTGAACAAAGCAAGAACAACAATTGTACCAGGATAATATGAGCTCATCTTTTATTATTTCGAGGATTCTTCTCAACTGGTTACAACCTGAACGATGAAAAATATGAATTACATTACATTAAAGATTTGAACATAATTTTCCACGATCACAAGGAGTAATTGGTAGGAAGTAAAAGTAGCATTAGTCCGGAATGATTTAACTAATTAAGAGTTACAAACACTGACTATTTATAGAATAATTCAAATGAACTGTGATCAATATTTGACAGTTTATAAATATTTATAGAATAATTAGGCAATTAGGCTTGGAAACAAAACAAGCTGTTGTATATATTTTTTTGTTGTCACCAGGGCAGTGCAAGATTCACCACTGTCTCTTTCTGCGTACATAGATTTGGTTTAAGTCGTCTGATAGCAATTGCTTCAGCAAAGCGTAGCAAGTTAGGTTTCTTTTGCTTGTTGATTATTTTGAATGACTTCAAGTTGTCTACATTATGACCAGTGTCTAATAGATGACGCGCAATTGCACTGTTTAATACTTGTGGACCTTTCAGTCTCAGGTTCTTTGGTATGTGTTCAGAAATGCGGACAATAACCCTTCTCTCTGTTCTTCGGATGTATGTGCTTTGGCACGTACATCTAGATAAATAAACACCGTGCATGTATCACAGTAACAAATGCACCAGTCAAATAAGCCGCATAATAAAAAGACACCGAAATCGATGATATACACGAATCACATCAGGAATTTTATCCTGATATTGTATTTTACTGCAAAGAAGGATTAGGAAACGCCTATGTAGAGGGGCAGCATTGGGGAAACCAGCAATGCTCTTACATAAACATGCCTTAGATATCGTCATAGGAAAAGACGTCTGAGGTAGCATATCATTTAGTCTATTGATTTGGTAGGAACTTATTTCCGTAAGTCTAAATTGTGACCAACCAGAATAATGATAGACGCTTCTTAACGTTATCCCGCTACATCCACCGCACTGTAAGTTATTTCGCGAGAGTAAACAATAAACACCAAAGTTAAATGACCCTGAAACAACCAATCAAATCACTCAGCATTACAAATGGATACTGTTCATAATCTTAGTTGCAAGTTTCACCCAGATTTGGTTTTTAACTTCTTTGTGAAAGATGGGTGGAGGGAAAGGACTAAAACATCTACATACGGAGGGGTAATGACTCTGCCAAAGTATTGCCGGGTTACTGATGGTTATGCATTCAGATGCAATCACCGTCATATGAGGAAGTTTGTAAGAGTTGGTAAGTCGTACATTCTGGTGATTTTTTATATACTTTCTTCTGGAAATAGAAACTCTGCCTTAGTAAAACATTGCATGTATGCCACAACTGGCTACGGAAACGACTAGTATCTGATACAGCTGTAGAAAAAGAGAATACTAAAATGTCATCAGTGCAGTGGTAACAGCACTGTCCGGATACTCCGTCACGAAAGATCAGTGGAACTGTTTCTATACTTGGAGAAATTGGTGTTGCCGTTCATTTGGACGAAGCAGTACATATTAAATGAAAAATGAATCGCGGTGCTGGGACTGTACGACACAACTCTTCGGCAAGGGTTAGTACGACGCATCCCAAACAGAAGTGCTTATGTTTTAATACCAATTATACAACGACTAGTCCCCCAAGGCTCCACCATTCACACAGATGAGTGGATACGTTATTTGCAACTATCATCACTAGACTGCATTCGTCATCAATCATTCTTCTGAATTAATAGATCCTATGAGCGGAACCCATACAAATTCTATTGAAGGATTCTGGGTCCATCTGACAAAACGTATTAGAATGGTAATTGGTTCCCGAAATGATATCGTATATAAACACTTAGATGAATTTTTGTATCGACATTGGTTTGATATGTCTGTAACCACCCTTATGAGAAATCTGAAACCATTTTTTGCAGCATGCTAGAGACATATACCCTGTTTGATTCATTTTCATTATATATACAGCTTTATAAATACACTTTTTGTTAAAAATTAAATGCCACTTCTCGCCCGGAAGAATCTGATTGGTCGTTTCAAGGCCATCTAACAACTTTGATGTTGGTTGATTACTGTAGCCAGTTATTCTTCTGAGTGAATTGATCAACTGAAATCAGACCCACACAAATTTCATGGAAGCATTCTAGGGGTATTTGAAGAATACGAAATGATATGGCATACGATCATGTCAATAAATTTATTGGCAGAAATTGTTTTGGACATAGACAAACTACTCTAACATATAAAAGATCGTCATCCTGTATGACTTTAACACTAGTTGTCTTTGCTAAAAGTTCCATTACAAATAATGCCTTTTAACCATGTTGTTAGTTTGTTTTTTTTTATTCAAGGTCATTTGGTTAGCTATTCGTTTCGGCAGACATAATTTACTGCTGTCAATGTGTTGTCTCAATTCTCTACACACCTTTACAAATCTCTAAATAATCAATAATCACACACTGTATAAAAAATGTTGTTCATTGACTTACCTTTACCATGCTTCGATTGGTTTATATATCTGGATTTAACCTTGAATATGTTTGTCTCACTAAAGTGTATGAAACATGCTTTGCCGTCTAGTTCACATAATAGTAACATAGTCACGTCTGAGATCAGATGTTCATTGTATACAGGAATATATGTGAGTTTGTTTAAACTTTATGTTAGAAAAGTTCATCTCATTACAATATAGAGACAATTATATTTCTTTTCCATTAAAGTAATAATTTTATATATGTAGATATTGAAGTTTCATGAACAGTTCTTTCTTTTTAACTGTTGTCAGTTTTTCTTTGTTGTACCTGGTATTCATGTGTCTTCTAACAAATCTACTAGGATAACCCATTTGGACCAGCGTATTTTGGATATATCCTAGCTCATTTTCTAAGGAGTCATCTGTACAAATACGTCTTCCTCTTGTAGATATGTTTAAGATTTTTAGTATTTTGATAAGATTTTAAAGCATGTTATTTACTGAATCCAAGGAGCAAAGTGGAACTTTAGACATACAAGGAGCTCGAATATAACATTGACTTCGGCGAGGGGGGGGGGCGATTATACTCCGTGTCTCTTTTTTGAAATGTCACCATCTTCTTTATCCGGTGGGTATTTTTGCGTGTTTCAATAAATAGGCCAAAATATACCAGCATGATTTCATGAAAATTCAAAAATATACATTTAACTTTTGAACTTACTGCCCCCTTTAATCCATTACGTTGCGCAGACATCAGTATCAAGAGATATTTTCTGATAAAAGTGCAGCGAATGTAGCGCAGCTCAAACACTTACACTTACGTCAGAAGAAATATTGGGCAACACTAATGATTAGATTTTCATCATGAGCTGACATTAGTTAGAGAACCATTGGAAAACCTGAGAGTACTGGACAGCTGTTTCCTCCGTCCTAGTTTGGGACTCTTCATCAGTACGCACCCACCACCAGTGTTCGAACCCAGGACCTTCTGGTTACAAGGCTAGCGAGCTCGTAGACCGTTGAGCCACTGGGACCCGATCCAATGGCCAGCCCATGAATTCTAACTTCTGCCAATTCATGACATAGCGCGACCCCTAGCCAATGTCTTCGGCGAGTATTTGTCCTCACACCCGACCTGGCAGAAGTTAGAATTCATGGGCCATTGGATCGGGTCCCAGTGGCTTAATGGTATACGAGCTCGCCTTGTAACCAGAAGGTCCTAGGTTCGAACAGTGGTGGTGTGTGCGTACTGATGAAGAGTCCCAAACTAGGACGGAGGAAACAGCTGTCCAGTACTCCCAGGTTTTCCAATGGTTCTCTAACTAATGTCAGCTCATGATGAAAATCCTGTAACCAATCAAATCCCTACAAACCAACACTTGAGTAATGATTAGACACCAACTTCGGATGACCTTGAAGGAGCCTGTCAGAAAAGTGCTACTTAATTTCTAAAAAAGTGTATTTATGATATATGTAATAAAAATGAATCATGCAGGATACAAATCTCTAATACGCTGCAGAAACTGACCCGAGTTTCCCATAGAAGTGGTTATAGACATATCAAACCAATGCATTCTCTATTTCTGAAGCTATAGCAGTTACTAGTCACACATGCGCAATATATTACTAAGGCAGAGTTTCTATTTACAGAAGAAAGTATATAAAAAATCACCATAATGTACGACTTATTAACTCTAACCGTCGTCCTCATATAGCAGTGATTGCATCTGAGTAGCCCAACAATACTTTCACAGAGTCATTATCCCTTCAGGTATGCATGTTTTAGTCCTCCCTATCAGCCCATTTTCCACAGACTAGTCATAAACCAAATCTAGGAGACTAGCATCCATATGTAATGCTGGGCTGCCTGATTGGTTGAATCAAAGTCATTTGACCTTGGTGTCTACTGTTTACTGTTGCAGAAAATTGTTTAGTGTAAAATTTCATTTGAAAGTTTATAAAAAATATAACTTGTTATCTAAGCACCTTAGCAACGGAATACGATGCTACAATTATCGGGGATGTGTAATAAAGCTATTCCCATTCAGAGATATTGGGATGAAGGCTAACTTTTGTTATAGGATGGTTGGAAGCGATCGGTAGGAAGCCTTGGGTCTAAACACTCCTGAGCATGGCGTATCTGCAAACTTGAAGGAACTCATATCCTATCTGAGATTCGAATCCGTGTCATCCAGTGATGAAGTCACAGAGAGAGTTATCACTGAGCTGTTTAGGTTCGCTAATGACCTCCCGTAAGACTGTATCATATATTTTGATTGAGAAATTAGCTGCTTACTACCTGATGTTCAGTCAAAAGAAATGAAATTTCTTGTATACCATTTACCAGTTAGAGGAGAACGCTACCTTGATGACCACATTAGAAACGTGTCTGATAGAATCCAATCAGCGCTAATATTAACGACTAGATACATGAGCCTGATGACTCGCAATGTTGATTAATCAAGTTTAATTTCGTGAGTATTAGACATTCGGTCACATTTGATATTTGGTAGTTAATGATACTGTGTTGCAGCATAAGCTGAAACGCGTATTCCGGCATTGAAATCCTGGAAATGAGAAGTGGGAAATAAGAAGACAGGGATATCCTGGATCAACGTGAAGAACCTAGAAGACCTGGATTTCGCCTGTGGATGATTTATGTTTGATGTCACACAAAATCGAAGACTTACAAGCGAAAACCGACAAACTGGTCGAAGAAGCAGCCAGAGAAGACAGGACTCCAGGTGAACATAGACAAGACGGAGGTCATGAAAATAACCAACCAACAACAATAACAACAACAACAGCAACATCCAACGCCAATCACCATCAACGGGAGGGATTTGAAAGAGGTTACTTCATTCACTTATCTAGGGAGCATTGTCTCAACTACAGGAGGAACGGACGAGGATGTCAAATCGAGAATCGGGAAGGCGAGAAACACATTCATCAACCTGAAACCAATCTGGAAATCTTCGAAACTCAACTCAGCATCAACAACAAAATTCGGATTTTCAATACAAACGTCAAGTCAGTCAGTTCTTCTATACGGATCAGAAACTTGGCGGGTCACAAAGAATATTTCCAACAGCCTGTTGCAGACCTTTATCAACAGCTGCCTTCGTTCTATACTGAAGATCAGATGGCCGGAAAGAATCACCAACAAGAAACTATGGGAACAAACAAAAAACAAGAACCAATCGCTCAACAAATATGCAGGAGAAAGTGGAGATGGATTGGACACTCGCTGAGGAGGCCATTGGGTGACATCGCGCGTCAGTGGCCAGTGCTCGAGTGGAACCCGAAAGGGAAGTGGCGAGTGGGACGTGCAAGGGTGACATGGAGGAGATCGTGTGAAGAGGAGCTGAAACAGCATGGACTAACATGGATGCAGGTGAAAAGTACAGCAGAAGACAGAAACAAGTGGAGACGTGCAGTTGAAGCCCTATGTTCCACTAGGAACCCAAGGGAACAATAATAATAATGTGTAGGAATTAATAATGCCACGAGAAATCCGTTGGTCTTATATGGATAAAACAATCGGAGCCTAACATCATTTAGCTGAAAGTTGAATACTTACTCTAATGATTCACACCACCAAGTGATATACAAATCGTCACTGGTCATTGCGTTACGATATCTGAAATCTATCGGTTGAGAATCTTAGATTTCGATAAAGGAAAAGATAGAGAAAAGCAGAGTAAAATGTTAATGGATAAATTCTTTGTTTCGGAAATATAGAGTTACTCTTCTTATTTTAAATAAACCACGTGAGATACGAAAAGGGAAAATGATAGTTATTTGGTGAATTTTAATGTGCAATGGAATCCAAAATAAGTGTTTTGTCGAATTTTGGAATCGTCATCTAGATGTATCTACGATCCCCAATGAGGAATGATGTTCCCATTGAGACTTGACTCTAATCCACCCTAATCTAATATTATACTAACCTCAATCTATCCCTAATCTAAGCCTGATTTAAACTCCGAATCCTGAACGACAGTCATTTGAATGAACATTAGCAATCCTATACCACCCTGTGAATTATCTTCTTAGCATCCTGTTTAATATTCTCACATTTCTTTAGATATTTTTCTACGGATATTGTGTTATTTGCCTGGTTTCATTGGTTTATTCTGATTGTTTGCTTCAAGCCCGACATGCAGCTACTACCTTGATGAGGTGGTTGGATTCGTATATCACAAGTTTACTGCAGGTTCTACCACGCCAGAAAGATAGTTTGGATAGTGGTTAGACTAAAAACAGTTACCATCGTAGTGTACATCGTTTACACTGTGGAGGAGCTTTGTGGGCAAAGTCGTACTAGTGGCGAATAGGGATGCAACAGCAGAAATCTTTTCCTCCCAAATAACCACCAAGCGAAATATCCTGCCTCTCGGCTCTAGAGATTGAGGGTTAGAAAAACTGACTCTGAAGTTTGTACATCCCAACTTACATTACGGTGATCTGTAGCCGGTGTGAAGATCTTGATACGGATGCAACTCTGAAGACCATTTCAAACAGTCCATATATGACTGGCCTAAAGCAATTGTCCTTTGGCCTCTGCAGGCATACAACGCTTATGCTCCTTCTGGTTCATGCACCCCCAAGAAGGAATCACCTTCTATGATGTGGGCAGCTGGGAAGTGATAACCGCCCCCAAAACAATTCCATAAGCCCACAAGTTTTCCTGTGACTCCAATCAGGTTAGTTTAGGGTCGTTAGTGTGCTCGTTCTTGCGTCCTATCTCGAGTGTTAAGTTGCACAATAATTCTGAGAATTTTGAGGTTAAGCCTAGAATGTTAGGAAAGAAGGACAAATCAGTTCATACGGTTTTAACGGTACATCAATTAAAATGGACAGGACAGGTGTTTCTCATGCTAAACCACCACCTTCCTCGATGAGCAATGTTAGGTGACATAGGATGTGTTTTAAATTGTGTTAACAGCGGTCATACCGAAACTTGGCATCAGTTTATGAGGCCTTTGACTATTGATCTGAGCCAATTTTGCAGGTGTAGTCTGATTGGTTGGTGTCCTGAGGATACCAAGAACCAATGGCTAGAGACAATTTGTCATATGGCTGAAAATCGTTCTCATTGGTGCAGATGCATTCACCCTTTGTTTTCTTCCAAATATCCATTAAATCCTTATTTTTTTTCCATAATACTTTTCCTTCTTCCAAACATTTCTGCTCATCATTGTTCACATGAATTTTCTTCTTCTCTACTTTTGTGTGCTAAATAAAGTGTGGCAAATTGAGCTGTTGTACTTCTGTGCAAAGATTTGCGTTAAAATTCAGTCAATCAATCAGTCAGGTTGTAACGACAGAAGACAACGGTCAGGCAACAGATCGTCTTTTGAGAAAATCAACAGATATTTATGGACTTTTATGTACATTATTATTAGCGTTGTGCGTCGGTGGCATAGCGGTTAGGACGCTCGCCGACCATGCACATGGTCCGGGGTTCGATTCCCGGCCGACGCACTCCTTTACCTCGCTAAGCCAGAAATAATGCTGGTGAAGAGGAAAGGTTGGGCATAAGGCTAGCAACCCCATCCTGTAAAATAAACACTGCTATAGAAACTTCAAGCCACTAACTTGAAGCCCTATGTTCCACTGGGGAACGTGAAGGAAAAAAATATTAGCGTAATTGTTAGCAGAGAAACAACGTCTTCTGATTGGTTGGTTGTTTTCCTGTTGAAGGTTATTCTATCATCCTCTTTGTTACCGTTTCTTAGACAGTCCGTTGATATATCTGCTAATCGTATTCGCCCATGCTAAGTGTGCTGTGATTGTTTGTTGATTTCGTCAAGGTTAGTCTTTCTTCTTGTTTTTTCTCATGATCCCGATTTGGGATGTAAACATTGACGTCAGTTGTTGTCTACAATTTCGGCTAGCAGACAGCTCTCACCACGAGGTTACATCCTGAGTCTCTAACATACCAATAATTTTGTATTTCTAATTTCTTAACCGTAAAAGGTATGTTCAAAAGAACTGTCGTCAAGATTGACAGAATAGTTCTAAAATATTTGGCGCCGAGTGAGAAGTAGACATTTGTAAAAAATTATATTTGTAAAATCTCAGCGATATTGAAATGAGTAATTCCAACGTTTCGTTCGCAATCTGGTCCGAACTTCTTCAGGGAATTAATCAAAATTAACATAAAGAGGTTTATATATAAAAGGCACATCTTTTTAAAAACTTTGTCCAATCATGATTCATAAAACAAGTATTAACAAATATAATAAACAAAATTGTATAGCGTGTTCAAAATTTGACCTCGGACTTACAAATATTGGTCTACCTTTGTTAAACACTTTAAACAGAGTGTGCATGCGTGTGTGTGTAAACAGTTGTAAAACATTTCTTAAGTCTCCATAGGAAGATATAGACAGTCAGGAATTTGACCAAGTATTATTAATTAGTGATACATATCCATTATTATTTATTAATCAGGATTTCCTATGCATCAGCTAACATCAAACCTTCATGTCCGTTCAAACTGCTAGTATCTAGAATTTTATGATTAGACTATTTTCAAAATTATGGTTTTAGGATTAGAGTTTAGTTTAAGACCCTGTCGAACTTATTGCATTGTCTTCTTTCTGAATATTGAGCTGCTTTATTGACTACTGGAGTTGTCAGGTGACTCGACAGCTACGGATTTAGGATGTGCATTTTTTCCAGACAACGGAGATAAGTGCCTTTTATATATAAAACCTCTGTTATGTTAATTTTGATTAATTTCCCTGAAGAAGTTCGGACCAGATTGCCGAACAAACGTTGGAATTACTCATTTCAATATCGTGAGATTTTACAAATATAATTTTTTTAAAAGGTATGTTGTTAAAACATGTGTTATGTAAAACTATGTTATTTAATGTATATTTTTAGGATGACCACTCCACCGTATGTTCGTCAAGCTCATTTATCTTGGTTACCCGGTGCTTATGGTACACCTCCACCGGCAAATGCAGTTCAAGCAGCCGCTGGTATTTGTATTATTCGTGGTAGAAAAAATGAAGATTTAATACCGGGTAAAATGCCTATCGGAATTGGTGCAGGTTTTATACCTTATAAAGGTGAAGAGTTTGGACTTCGTGAATTCGAGATATTGTGTAATACAAATGTTTATGCAAATCAAGCTTTGTAAGTATAAGGAAGGCATAACTCTAATCTAAATATTTCTAACTGATTAAAAATGCCCATTAAAATTTTCAAAAGAATAGACACGGAACAAAGAGTACTCTTTTCGATAAATTCATCATCAGGTTCTACAATTAGATATACATTATAATGAATGAATGAATTAGTCTTATGAACGACATTAATGTTTAAATAACATCAAATCAATAATATTGATAAATTACAGCTGAACAGCATCAACATAAAATAAACTGAATGTCAGAAGAATTAGGAAAGATAATAGTACAAATTCATGAGTTTATAGTCTCTAGTGAGGGCCAGGGCAGTAGTAGGGGCTGGACTTGCTTCTTTTGAACACAGAGCACTGGTTGTTTGAGGCGAATTGCAATAGCCTGTGCTGTTTGGAGCATGTGGTGCTTCGACGATTTTGGTAATTTGTTAGGCACCCGGTATATTATAGAGAAGGATTCTTCTACGCTGGCTTTGTGACCGGTTTGCACCAGATGGTCTAATATCGAGCTGTTAATAGTTTTAACTACACCTTTACTTAGCCATAGTGAGATATGTTCTCGAGCACAAAAATCAAGTTCCTAGAGCAACGCCCAATATAACTCGCCCCACAAAGCGCAGTTGAATTGATAGATACAATTTGAAGTGACTAGTCTAGGTACTTCATCTTTCAGTCGAGGTAGCACCATCAGTCGTGTAGAGAATAATACGTGTAGTTCGCCAGCATTGAAAGTTCTTGGGACTGATTTTCTTAATTTCTTCGTAATTAACTCGCTTGGTATATCACCCATGAATTGTAGTCGTATATATAAAGGCTTCTTGTTTACAGACAGTGAGTAGTCCTTTTCCGCTTTCTTTGTCATGTGTTTCTTGATAAGTTTGTCAGGATAACCATTTTCGATTAAAGTATCATATACAATGCTTAATTCATCTTCAGTTACTTCTTCTGAGCATATAGCTCTAACTCTGTGGCTGAGAGTCTTCACTAAATTTCTTTTGTAACTGATAGGAACAAAGCTGTGAAAGTGTGTATATTGTCCTGTCCAAGTGCTTTTTCTATGCAAATTTCTTTTTATGCTACCGTCTGGTTTTCATGTAAGTAGGACATCCAGGAAGGCAATTCTGTCTTGGGATTCCTCTTCGCATGTGAATTTCATAGCCGAATGTACTTCATTGAATTCAGTAATTACTGTACTTCTATCAGAACCATTATCACAAAGAATAAAGGTATCATCCATTTATCGGCAATAAAATGAGAGCTTTCTGATAAGGTTGTTCAGAGGTCCATTTTCTAGCTTACTTAGAAAGAAATCAGCCAAAATGGGAACCAGTGGGGAGCCCATCGCCACCCCGTCCACTTACCTGTAAAGCGTGCCGTCAAATTTGAAGTTTACATTCGAGGTGCATCTTAATATCACTTCTTTTAGGATTTCAATATGGATTCCAATGTTTATCGACTGCTTGTTCACTTGTTCACATTAATCCTTTTTAATTTATATATATATATATATATCATTATTTGTATAATTTCAATTATTCCCTTCACGTGCCACATGTAATTCTTTCTATATTAAATTAGGTATAATTGGGTTCCTGCACGTGATGGTCAAGTACCTGCTGGTGCATTTCTCGCTGGAATAACAGGTAGTGGTGAACCATTGTATATAGCTCGTGCTACAGTAAATGATGAAGTGTGTGTCGGCAAAGTGAATCGTTTGTATAAGTGTGCACTACTTCCATGGGGTAATAAAGAATATAAATTAAGAGAATATGATGTTCTTTGTTGTTTAGAATAGAAATTGTTGTTTGTTTCTTTATATATTTTTAAAAAGTGAGAATAAGATCTTTGATCTGTTTTGAGCTGCTTAAAACATATTTGGTTTAATTGTACATATATGATATCAATACGGTGAAATATCTATGTATCTTTTATAGTAATACACATTTTAAAGAAAAGACAGTTTGTTATTTTCGATGATGGCTGGCAGTAGAATTCAGGACTCATGTTTCGATCTACATTGAGCTCATCAGTTGGATGCACCTTCTTGCTTGTGATTAGTGGTGATTCCAGCACCCACCCCTTCATAAACTAAAGAACACGAGAACCACCTCATATAATCTCTGATTGATATATTTTGAACTATTAATTATTATAACATTGAGACACCCGTTCAAGTAGCTCGTATACCTAAATGAGGCTTTACAAACTTCTCTGGAATATACAAATTTAGCTTATTCCGATAAATTCTGATTACTTGAAGGCTTTCATCATGTGCTGATATCAGTAAGAGAACCGTTGGAAAACCTAGATTGGATCCTAGTAGCTTAATGGTCTGAGAGATCGCCTTGTAACCAGAAGGTCCTGGATTTGAACCCCATTCGTGGTTGCGTGGGCACTGATGAAGAGTCTCAAACTAGGACGAAACAGCTGTCCAGTACTCCCTGCAGGTTTTCCAGTGGTTCTCTGACTGATGTCAGCTAATGATGAAACCCTCCAACCAATTAAACAAAAAAAAGTTCTCAAGTATTGGTTTGGTAGGGATTTTGTTTAATTGCATGGAGGATTTCATCATGAGCTGACATCAGTTAGAGAACCACTGGAAAACCTGGGAGTACTGGACAGTTGTTTCGTCCTAGTTTGGGACTCTTCAGCAGTACGCACCCAACACCAGTGTTCGAACCCAGGACCTTCTGGTTACAAGTTCCTTCAAAACGAATACTTGAAAAGAATTCTGATTAACTTTACTGTTAATGAAAGTTGAACTCTTACAGTATGAAAAAAATTTGAATAAAATAAGACAAATAAAATCTTTGTTAATCTCTCTTTGATGTCTCGTATTAACATGGTGAGCTAGTGTATAGAGGCATAGAGATAGATGTTCGCTTTAGTTGAGTTCATCGCCTAACCATGGTGACTGGTATCCAGAAATTCGACAATGGACTTACCTAATTATACACCCAGTGTAACGGATTCTACATGAACAGACTATTTCTGAAATCTGTATGATAAAAATATCGATTAGAATTTGGGACATCGTTTACTTTTTGTGCATTCAACATTAAATTTGAAACTAGCCTATATTTCAGTAGTGAATAATGAAGGATTTAAGTGAAGTATATATGATTTCATTAAGTGAATGTGAAATAAGTGGTATATAGTGACATCTGTGTTGCACTGTAACAACAGAAGACAAGGTCCAGGCAGCAGATCGTCTTTTGAAAAAATCAACAAATATTTATAGACTTTTATGTACATTAATAATAATAATAATAATTTACTTTATTCCAAAAACAGTACTTCCGATACAAAATGGAATTTTCAGCATCAATCACAATATTGCATCTGTTTCCTCAAATTATAAATAAAAATTAGTCACTCAGAAAATTTTCCACATTTACAATAGGGGTAATGTCAAAAAAACATGCAGCATATAAAGTGGAAATAATAATAATGATAGCAGATAAGGTAATGATAATAATACAAGTGGAAATTACTGTGAGCTTGTTTCACACAGTATTGTCGATGCGGTATACAAATCCTTGCATGATTAAAATATTGAATATGATGTTCTCTTTACATGATATGGTGAGGGAAAAAACAAAGATTACAGCAATCATAGAGATAAGTTGGTGTTTGCAGTTATGAAAGCAAAAACAAGGAAGCAACAGGACCAAAAATATAATAGAAATAATAAAAGTAAAACTTGAATGTATATAAGGATGGATGGAGATTGTTTATTTACTAGATGAAAAAAGGTTAGTCAATTCTTGCCTGACAGTATTTCCATCACATAAAATACGTGCCAAGTATGGTATCATAGAAGTTTTATACTTAGACGTGCGAGCATACAGTTTCCTGAAGTTACTTCTTGCTCTATCTGAGGAGATGCAAGGTGAAAGCTGAGGGTGAAGTGGATGCTTCAAGTCAGACAAAATCCCTTTAGCAAATTTACTGCACGAAGTCAAGTGCCTATCGACGACGACGTTAACCATGTAGTCCACTAGGACACCACTCATCCTACTGACAGTCTTCAGCATTCTACGAATTGTGATAAAGTCCTTTTTAAGCAAACCAGGAAAGAATAAGGGTGAACAATAAAGAAGAATAGGTAGGATGCAAGAGTTTATGAACTGTAAGAGGAGGGGTTGAGTTATACCCGAGTGCCTTAACTTCTTAATGTAAAATGTCAGGCGGAATATTTTACTGGAGATCGCTAAGACATGGGAAGACCAGGAGAGATCAGAAGAGAGAATAAGTCCAAGATACTTAATTTCTGATTTAATTCCTATATCATTGTCGTCAATCTTATAACTGTCATGAGAATCGACGGCTTCTTTTAACTGTCGTTTACATCTTAAGCTGAAATTAACAGTTTGACATTTAGAAGGATTCAGTTTAAGACCATTAGACTCAGACCATTTACTGACTCCCGACAGAAAGCTATTTATTTTGGTACAATCTAGCTGGGAGTTAACAGCCATTGAAACAGTTAAATCATCAGCGTACTTCACAAAGTTTATTTCATCAGACTGAGGCAAGTCATGTAAGAAGAAAGAAAAAAGAAAAGGAGAAAGGACAGCGCCTTGAGGGACACCAGCTTCAGTAGGCAATGAAGTGGAAGACTTCCCTTTGTATACGGTGTACTGCTTTCTTTCTGAGAAATAGGAATATAACCAGTTAACAGCCCAACATTCTGTTTGACTTGCAGCAAGCTTATTTAATAAGATGTCCCTAGGGACCGAGTCGAAAGCAGATGTACAGTATAGGAAGGCACAACGAACAAATTTAGACCCCTTTGTCTAGACTGGAAGCAATGTTATGATATAAGACGGCAGCTGCATCTAAAGTGCTTCTACTGTGCTTATAGGTAAATTGTTTAGGGTCATTAAAGGATTTAAGAGAGGGTACAAGACTAAGTAAAAGTAATTTCTGCATTGTTAGCAGAGAAGCAACGTCTTCTGATTGGTTGGTTGTTTTCCTGTCGAAGGTTATTCTATCTCCCTCTTTGTTACCGTTTCTTAGACAGTCCGTCGATATATCTGCTAATCGTATTCGCCCATGCTAAGTCTACTGTGATTGTTTGTTGAGTTCCTCAAGGTTAGTCTTTGTTCTTGTTTTTTCTCATGACCCCGATTTGGGATGTAAACATTGACGTCAGTTGTTGTCTACAATTTCGGCTAGCAGACAGTTCTCACCACAGCACTGTTCTGATAAGGCTTGGTCTTATGGCTCAGTTATCTAGTGGAGGGTGATGTTGTGTTTGGAAGGAAAGTTAGTATATACTAAAATCTGCCTAAACTTTAACAGAAACATGGAAATTTATAAAAAATGTTTGTTCCCAGTTATTAGTTCACCTAGCTTTCAAACTGAACTTCATGAATATTGAAACAATATGAAATAAAGTCCTGAATATGTAGTAAAGAATTTGAATAAGACTGGGAGTCAAGTAATCTTGACTTGTTTCAAGTTTGGCCATAGACTGATATCAGTTATAGAACCACTGAAAATCAGGGAGTACGGGACAGCTGTTTCTTCCTAGTTTGGGACTCATCGGCAGTACACATTCATTTGATTCGTATTGAAGAAGATGAAATAATGGAAAACTTCGATTTTTACTCAATATTCACGAATGTTCACATTAAAGATTCTTTATTATTATCATTGTTTCCTTTTGTTCCTAGAGGAACATAGGGCTTCAGCCATGCGTCTCCATTGAGTTCGGTTCTCTGCCAACGTCTTCACCTGGCTCCAAGACTGCCCACACGTTTTCATCTCCTCTTCACATGACCTCCTCCATGTCACCCTCACCCTTGCACTGACGACCAACTCGCCGCTTCCCTTTCGGGTTCCACTCGAGCAATGGCTTGTCTAGTGATGTCACTTGATGGTTTCCTCAGAGTATGGCCAGCCTATCCATCTCCATTTCTTCCTGCCTATTTGTTTCACAATCGGTTCCTGCTGAGTTGGTCGGCTCATTGCCGGAGATCTCTGTTGCTGATCTTTTCTGGCTGGTCATCTGATCTTGAGTAGTGAGCCAAGACTACTGTTGACAAAGGTCTGTAATTTATTCGAAGTGGCCTTCGTGACGTGGCGTCAAGTCTCGGATCACTATAGTAGTACTGACTTCACATTGGAGTTGAAAATTCGGATCTTATTTTTGATGCAGAGTGCTGTTGACCTCCACACAGACTTGAGAGTAGTGAAAGTTTGTCTTGCTTTTCCGATTCTAGCTTTGATATCCTCGTCAGTTCCGTAAGCCTGTAGTTAGAATGAGGCTTCCCAGGTAAGTAGGTGAGGGAGGTTGCTTCTTTCAGATTTCTCCCATTTATGCTGGCTGACTGTTGCGTGTTGCTGTTGTTGTTACTGTTGGCCAGGAATCTTCATCACCTCTGTTTTCTCTATGTTCACCTGAAGTCCCTCCTATCTCTGATGCTTCTTCTGCCAACTTGTTGCTTTTCACTTGCATATCTTCCAGTTTGTGGGAAATCAGACATATATCATCGTCGAATTCCAGATCCTCCAAGTTGGTTTTTTGTGTGAGTCCATTTTATGCCTGTTTCCTCATTGCTCGCTGTCTGTCGCATTATCCAATCTACTGCAATCAGGAAAATCATTGGCGATAGTAGTCAGCTAGCTTGTCTTACTCCTGCCCTCACTTCGAAGGATTCTGTAGGTTTCCCGTTGTGGATTACTTGGCATTCAGCATTGTCGTACAACTGTTGGATGAGATGTATAATTGTCGGTGGCACCCCATAGTAGCGAAGTAGTTTCCAAAGCACCTCTCGATCGACGCTGTCGAAGGCCTTTTCAAAGTCGATGAAGTTGAGATTCTTTATGCAACACTATTAACTTATTACTGACAAAAGAATAAATTAAG